TTATTGTATACTTTCACTTCCCTCCTCCCTTATTTTGTGCAATTGTCATACATTTCTACTTCAGTATATGTTGTAAATGCCACAACACATTATTACTTTTGTTTTAAATTTTAAAAATGTTTAAAGAAATTTACAAAAGGAGGCTTTTTTTGAAGCTTTATTGGGGTGAGTCTAGAATGCCACTTTTATTAGGGCTGGTTTTGATGTACTACTAACACATTGCCTTTCTGGGATCTTTCCTTGAGTGTTCAACAGGTCTCTGCTCTGTCTGATGAAAACTCAAGAGGTCTCCCAGCCCTGTGAGAGCCATGGGAAATGTCCTGCTACAGCTCCCTGGAAATTCTTTGCCCATCCTTGTGGAATTTCGCCCTACACATGTGCAGCTTTATATTCAGCAAGAGAATTAAGGGATTGCCTGTGCAAATTTCTGGAGTCTTCTTCCTTCTCTGTTACTCTGTCCTACAGATTCCAGCTGCCCCAGTCTCTCTGGACTACAGACCCTGTCTCCTCAACTTAACAAGAGTACCACACTTTGTTTGTCTTCCCTCTTCCTGTGCCATGGTCTAGAACGTGCCTTCAGACAGAAAGTTAGTATGATTATAAGGTTTATCTCATCTGTTTGTGATCCCTTCTCTCAAGGATCACAGTTTTGTGCTGTCTATAGTACAGTGTCTGAAGACAATACAGTAGAAGGGCAAGTCTGGTCTCATTCATTCTTGCACTTGATATATATAAAATTTTTAAGGCTTTAAAAAAAATCTATAGGTTTTCTTTCCCTCTTTCTTTGCAATTTATTTAATAAATAGTGTTGTTTGCTCTATAAAATGGCTGAGTCTAAATTTTGCTGAGTGCATCCTGTGCTGTAATTTAACATATTCCTCTTATAAAGTGGTATTGCTTATAGAGTGGTAATTGGATCTAGACCAGGGATGCTAAGCTTTGACACTATTGACCATTTTGGGCCAGGTTATTCTTTGGTAGGGGTGGGCATGGGAGGGTTGGTGGGTTCTCTCCTATGCAAGTATTTAGTAGCATCCCTGTTGTCTATCCACTAGATGTCAGTACAATCTCCTCCCAAGTTGTGACAACCAAAAATGCCTCCAGACATTGTAAGATGTTTTTAGATTCATGTTCTGTTATGAAAAGTAGGCTACCTAACTACAGAATCAACTTCAGGAATATGAAGACAGCTTCCTAGCAAAAATCACGATATTGTGTTAACACTGTAGAGAACACAAGAACAAGAAGATTTTAACAATATGCAAATTTTAACAATATAACAATATGCTTCACAGAATGGCTGACTCAGGAGCAACTTTATAGAGGATGTGAATTTCTGTTTGAGAAGGAATGAATACTAGAGGCAATAATGTAAAATGGTAAAAACTCAAGTCATTTCTTTTCAGTTACATGTTTCTTCACCAAATGTTTTTTCTGCAATTTGTTGAACAACATTTTAAGATGTTGAACTTCTACAATAGTTGTACACATTTACTTTTAAAAAAATACATACTTTACCATAACATTCTACAAACAAAATGCCAAATGGGGGGATTAATAAAATAATACTTTTAATTTAAAAGTGAACTGCCATTTTTTTTCCAAATGTTTCCAAGTGTCAGTATTCTCCTTACTAAGGAAGACCAGTGGAGAAGATGACAGAAAATTAATGTATTCTTTTTTTTTTTTTTATTTAAAAAAAAATTTTTTTTTAATCCTCAACTGAGGACTTTTTTTCCATTTTGTGTTCAGATAGAGTGGGAGGAAGAGAGAAGGATGAGAGAGGAGAGAGAGAGAGAGAGAGAGAGAGAGAGAGAGAGAGAGAGAGAGAGAGAGACAGCAACGTAAAAGGGACACACCGAGTGGTTGCCTGCATGACCCCAACCAGAGCTGGGGACGAATTGCAACCGAGGTACATGCCCTTGGCCAGAATCGAACCTGTGACTCATTGGTCCTCAGGCCAACGCTCTAATTGCTGAGCCAAACCGGCCAGGGCAAATTAATGCATTCTTTAAAAGATTTAAGAGGAAGATTGGGGTTGAGAAACTCGTCATAAGTTTCCTTAGATAACGTTACTTATAATTTAATCACCTAATGTTCATTGAAGACCCATTCTGTTTCATGTCCTGTGTACAATAGTTGTCTGTTTTGAAATGGTTTACAGGTAGATCTGGTGGAAAGGGTTTTAAAATTAACCCAGAGCAGTTCAGAGGGGCAGACTTTCTTCCATTGAGCTCCCTGAGGGTTGCTCTGTCACAGGCCTGCAGAATTCTTTCCTTTCTCCCCATTGGTGTCCTCCAGTTTAGTCATCAGTGGTTTCCATGGTGAGTGTCCATGGTGCATCATTGTCCTCCAAACAGGAACATTTGGATATTAAGTATCTCCTGTATCTCTAGTGTTTTAAATCTTAGTACAATTAGGTTTAAGGCTTAATAGGTACGTTTTTAAAAGATAAGTCTATGAAATAATTGTAGAGGCCAGGTAATCAAGGAGCCTGGGGTTCTCATATTTATCTTTTTTAGGCAACAACCTAGAGACTAATTGGATTCACTTCCCTAGAACTGTTAGTGTGTGAGAAGTGTCCCTCTTCCCTTTCTCTGTCAGTGAGCAATCTCTGTCTCTATCATTTCTCTTTGACTCTCTTCCTTGTTCTATCTGCATATTATTTTCTCTTTCTCTGCCTCCACTTGCCTCTGCATCTTTCTTGGTCCTCTTTCTCTCTGTCCTTTTCACCTTTCCAAAATCATTTCTAGCCTTCTCACATCTCTTTTTGTCTCTCTTTCACTGATTTTTCTCTCCCGCCCTCCTGTGTGCTTCTTTCTGTTTTTTGTCACATACCTTTTCTCTCCATCAGGACCTTGTTCAAGACATTGTCACTGATGTTGCCAGTTTCATTTTAATAAGGAACACAGTTCTCTTTGTTAAAGGGACTAGTGGATATGATAGCACAAAATAATATACTTTAAAATAAATGTAAAGGGGTGTTTCAGGTTGAGTGACTTTCTCTTACTCTTGAAAACCTTAATTATGACTTAATCAGGTTGCACTGCTTCTCCCACCCCTGCTCCACCTTTGGCCTGGGGTCTCCTGACATTTCTTCATTCGTTTGTTTCAGTTCAGAGCATTATCATTTTCCTTGGTGAGAGTCCATGGTGCATTTTTCTTTTCAGGTGTAGTTAGAAGGTCAGTTTGTTTTTGAGGTTTCCTGAGTATCTATGGCATGTCCTTGGTACTGTTGTGTTTGGAGTTTGAAGGGGTAAATGTGTAAATTGGGTCTAAAAATTTAGTGTGGAGTTAAAGTAACCAAGGAGCTGAGCATTTTCATATTTATCCTTCCCAAGTAGCACTCGGAGGACCAAATTTACTTTATTTCCCCAACATTATTTTTCCTAGAAGACTTCAAAGATATGAGAGATGTTCCTCTTCTGTCGAGTATTTTCTCCCTTTCACTACTTCACTTGTTGGCTCTATCATTCTCACTTCCTTTTTCAAATGTCCCTGTGAGTAGGTTAGTCCTTTCTTTCTCTTATTTCTCATTATTTTATCTTTCTGCCTTCATCTGTTTCTGCCTTACTTGGTTTTGCCTCTCCTTGTGCCTGCACCACCTTTTTTTTTTTTTCTATTTCTCCTCTTCACGCTCTGTATCTTTCTGCTTTCTCCCATGAGTGATAATTTTTCTTTTCCTCCTGCACTATTCAGTCACCTACCCCATATGTCCTCTGTTTCTCCAGTTCTTTATGAATGGTCCAGCACTGTGGTAAATGACATTGCTTGTTCCAGTGAGTAGTATGATATGGAGGCTTGTGCTTTCTGCCCCTGCTGCTTTATTTCATCTTTCAAAGAGTGAGTTTGAGAGCACAGTTGAAGAAAGTATGTTGCTCTAAGTCAGCAATTTTCATCTGGTGTGCTGTGGCACACTGGTATGCTGCAAGGATTTTTAAAACATGCAATACCAGACTATTTAGTCAGGGGCACAGACCTCTTTTCCCTTCAAGTGTCAAATAAAATAATGACAACAGCCAACACAATAGCCATCTGGTGTGAATGAATAACAGTTATACCTATTTTTTTTTTTTTTTTTATCCTCACCCGAGGACATTTTTTTTCCATTTTTTGTACAGATAGAGTGGGAGGGAGAGAGAGGAAGAGAGAGAGAGGGAAACATCGATGTGAAAGGGACACATCGAGTGGCTGCCACCCGCACGACCAACCAGGGCCGGGGACAAACTGCAACCGAGGTACATGCCCTTAGCGGGAACCGAACCCGGGTCCCTCCAGACCGCAGGCGGACGCTCCAACCGCTGAGCCAAACCGGCCAGGGCCAGTTATACCTATTTTTTGACAGATTGGTAAAAATATTTTTTGGTGTGCCATAGAATTTTAGTAATTAATTTATGTGTGCCATAAGATGAAAAAAGGTTGAAAATCGCTGCTCAAAGTGGAAGTATTTCCCTCCACAGAGGGCAGAGTAGTTGGCTGGTTTTCAGGTACTTCAATCTTCTGAAAAGTAGTTGAGCCCCAGGCCAGTGTTACACTTTACCTGTGTGGCATCCTGTTTTTGTTTTCTTAAAGAAATTAGAGAGGGAGAAACAAGGTGGTCAAAATAAGTGCGTCATAAGAAATGTAGATTGCTCTCTTGAGAAACTCCCATTAGCTAGATCTAGTCATCAGGTTACTTGTTCCGAAGGTTCTCTCCGCCTAGCCTGCCGTACGCCGCACAGTGTCTAACATGCTTTGTGATGTTGGGGACAGTGCGTGGATTTGTGTGCAGTTGACAGCCAGCGTCCAGAGCGCGAGAGCTAGGCTCCGAGCCCCGCCCCCAGGCGCTCTGGCCAATGGGCTGGGCCCGAGGGGCGGGACGAGTCTGGGCGGGAGGAGCAAAGTCAGGGGGTGGGGCGGGGGCGGTAGCAGCGGCCAGCGCGGTCGTGGCGGTAGCTGCAGGGGCGGCGGCCACTTGGCCGGGCGGCCGCGAGTCTGGGGAGATGAGGATGACGAGCTCCAGCCCTCGACGGCGCCGTCGCCGGCGGCCGTAAGTGTTGGGCGGGCGTCCGCACCCGGACGCGGTATGGAGCGCCGTGGTGAGTTTGGCGCGGTGGCTGCGTCTCGAGGCTGGGGTCACCCGCCGCGGCCGCCTGCGAGCTGCCGTCCAGGGTCCCGGCGGCCCACGCGGTCTCCCCGAGCGGAGGCGGCTGCGGTCTGCGCTGGAGGCTGGGCCGGAATTCGCGGGGCTCCTGGTTCTTCGGGGAGGGGCCGGGCCGGGGTGAGGGGCGCTCGGCTCCAGGGGCGGTGGAACCGGGAGGGCGCGAGCGGTGGAACCGGGAGGGCGCGAGCGGTGGCCTTGCGCAGATGACGACAAGACAATTGTTAAAAAAAAACAAGCCAGGTCCCACCGTCATCCTGTTCCAGGAGCGCTCCACATTTACGTTCTTTAGTTCTAACGGCAGGTCCGAGATTATTTCACTCGTTCTTCACACGGGGAACGGAGGTTAAAAGCCTGCGAGAATATACGGACCGGTCATTGGAGTGCGGGTTTTAACTCAGGTAGTTTTGCTCAGACTGTGCTCGTAACCGTTACCTAGGCTGGTCTTGCTTTTTCTGGTGCGGTCCGCCCCCACCTGCCCCGACGGCAGCCCTCGATTCGGCCGGTCTCCTTCCCGAGATGGGTTAGGGTTTCCGAGGCGCATTGTTTCCCTCGTCTCTGCATTTTGGGCGGAGGAGGAGTGTGTCGTTCTGTCTCAGAGATTTCTCATTCCGTTGTGGATGTGTTTGGGGCTTGACGGTAATTTGGGGTTTTGTTTTTTAAAATTTCTTTTTGACAGATGAGCCAAATCTGAGACTTTTCAAGCTGGGGCCCTAGTGACAGACGAGCCTTGTGTCTCTATGTTAATCTTTTTTTTTTTTTTTTACTCTCTTTCTCAAGAAGGACTTGGCCTCATCCCTTTTCAGAGGGCACGACTGTTAGCCGCTAGAGGAGGGAGCTGAGTGCCCCTTTCCCTTTCTCCAGCTGTCTCCTTGACGGTAGCTCTCCTCGCTCACTATCTGTGTTCGCCGCCCTTTTAGCTCCATTTTCCCACTCTGTTTTTAAATTCTGGGGTGCCAAACCTGCTCTTTGGCATTGGTAGTTTGGGCTGGTCAAGGCAGAGCCCTGCCTGCCAGGAATGCTAGACATTCTGGAGGCGGGGGAGGTTGTGCAGCTTCCTCTTTTTCAAACGTGCTGGGTTCTAACTGCACAGGAATGAAGTGTATGTGCACTGCATGCCTTCCTTTAGAAATTACGGTTATTTGCATATTATGGCTAAAACTTTTGACAGGCCTCTATTCTCTTTTTTTTGGAGAGTGTCTTTTAAAAATATAATTGAAGTCCTCCAGAATGAATTTTTCTGATTTATTTAAAATTTTTAAGTTAGATTCTTACCAAGTCAGAAATTGTGCTGAAATAGCAGATTTCTGAAATAACTGGCTGTTTTTCCCTGAGGTAGAAAGAGTGAGATGGGAACTATTAAGTACAGGTATTTGGGGCAGTTTTATACTTAAATTACTTCTATAAGGAGATGCTGGGCGGGGGGAGGGTGTTACATGGGGCACAGGACATTAACACAGGCTACTGAAATCTTGGAAAAGCCAACTTTCAGAGGACTGGCAGTTATTTTTCACATCTGTAACGCACACTGTGCTTAGAATTTAGAACGTACGAGAGAATGCACAGTAATTTCAGTTTGCTACAAAGTTCTTTGAGAAGTGGATAAAAAACATTTCTAATGTTGATGGTTTGGAGTTGAAAGCAGTGCATGAAAATTAGGAAGAGTTTCACAGATACTTTGCTCAACAGTCTATTTGCACAGTTCAGAATTAATTTTGAAGCGATTTAGTAGGTTTCCATGAAGTAAATTAAGTTTCTGGAATTGTTCCTAGTCCTATATTTCTTGCTCCCAGTCTACAGATATATTGTAGTGAAGCCACATCTTGTTCATGTGTTAAAAAATAATCTCCCACAATAAAGCACTGGTAGTAATAATGACTAACAGTTATTGAGTGTTCATGATGAGACAGGCACTGTGCTAAGTGCTTTCTTATTATTACCTCATTTAGTTAAATTGCCAGTTGCAGTCTGTTACTAAGTACAATTTATGTTACACCAACTAGAGAATGTTCATTTGGGGACATGGGAAAGTAATGTGGATGATCTTGGAAAGTATATATCCTACAAACTTTCTCATTATCATGGTACAGTTTTATGAAAGCTTGCATCAATTTTGTTATTTAAACTGTTTTCACCTGTAAGTTTTTTCTTTCAGTTTGAAATATGGAAAGTAGTAAAATAGGAATAACAAAAGTAGTATGTTACCCACCATAATGCTGACTAGAGGTAGAGTATAATCCTTTTTAGTTCCTCCTTTCCATACCTTTTTTCTTTTTAATCTTTATTGTTTAAAGTATTACAGATGTTCCCTCTGTTTCCCCCATTGACCCTTCTCTTCACTCCCACCCTCCTCCTGCCTTCACTTTTTCCCCACAATTTTGAAACACTTTACAACTTTGAGTTAATATGATACTTGTTAAAATAAAAAATTTTTGCTGAGATAGATGACTTGTTTTATTTGGAACTTTTGATATGTCTAATTTTTACCAAATTGACAATGACCGTGGCCAATTTTTTAATTTATTAAACTAAAAGCTGTCAAAATTAATCTGAATGACTTCATTGAGTAAGCTGCAAAAGTGATGTTAGGTTAATAGTCTTCTCTCAATTAGTGATTTGTAAAAGAGTTGCCAAAATGAAACACTTGAGTGTTTTGGGGTTTGTTGTTGCTGGGGAGACTTAGGTTTAAGCTTTAAAGATTGTCCTATGTTCATTTTAGAAATTATCTACACTTTTAAGGATTAATGTTAGATAGGTTTGAAACTAGTTTAAATGTAGAAATTACATTTCTACAATGCTCAGAAATATGCTCAGAAATAATTGGAGATTAAAAAAGACTTCAGTAAAGGAACATTAACAACTAATAAAGAAGTGTTGGAACACCTTTAATAATCAGAAGTACAGAAACAATAAAGAAATCCATCTTTGATTTCAGTTTTATGTAATCTTGCTTTTACTCAATTTCATATACATAGGTTTTATTTTGTTTTTTTAAGATACTGTTTTAGAGACAAATTTTTTAAAACCATTGATATTTTCCAATTAAAACACTGCAACGATCTGTCCTCCAGGAGTTAACTAACCGTTTTTGTTTCTATAAAAATTAATTAAACTTTATAATCATTCATTCTGCAAATAGTTGTGGGTAATTCATCCTTCATATGCCACATACTGTGCTGTGAACAGAGAACAAGTGGTGAGCAAACAGATGTGGTCTTGAATACCTTGAAATTATCATCTAGTTAAGAAGACATGAACTTTATACATCTTATAAGGTTCATGAATAGTATAAAATACTATAAAGCCCGTAATAGGAGATTCTGCTCTAGTTTGGTGGTGGTGGTGGATATGGGGGCAGGAGTGGTCCAGGAAGGTTTCTTTGAGGAAGTGATCTTTGAGCTGAGACTAGAATGAGTAAACAAAGGGAAAGAAGTAGTCCAGGCAAGTGGAACTGTAGAGATAGGACCCTGAGTCGAACAGGTGGTATTTTTAAAGTTGTAGGGTCATGGACCCATTATGATTGTGAAACCAATTTGGTGGGTCGAAACCAGCATTTTAAAAAATGAAATGGGATAGGATAGAGATCATTTGAGTGTATCATTTAGCTCCTTAGCTGTAATCTGTTTTCTGTTTTATGTATTCCTACACATAACGCCTCATACAAACATAACATACTTAACATGTATACTGGCCCATAATACAAAATTATTTTTTACTATGGGTCATGGTAAACAAACATTGTTGGAAGAATGAGAAGCAGGTATGTGTGGCAAGGAGTGTTGAGAGTGTTGACCAGGAATCTTGACTCCAGAGGACATTGCAGAGGTAGGTAGGAACCAGATTTCATGCTGAGATAGCTTCTTACTCGTCCTTTGGAAGAATTTTGAGCAGAGAAATGACATGAAATTCATATTTTGAAAAGTGTACTCAACACTTTGGAGTGGGAAAAGAATGATGTGGAGAGAGCATTAGGAAATTAGTAACAGTAGCTAAGACAAAAAATGATAGTAATTCACCGAGAGTGGTAGTAGAGATAGAAAAATTATATAGTTAGGTGAGGAGGTATAGGAAAGAGTAAATGATACAATAATGTATCTTAACACATGTCCTGGAAATGAATATTATGTAAAACTTTCTTGTGAAAATTTTACAGAATTCCTTAGTAATTCTATCATTTTGAAAGTATCCAAATATGCAAGACAGAATATTTGAAATGCATTTCAGTGATGATGCTTGAGCTCATTTAATTCCACAAGTCATTTCCTTTTTGATTCCAAGAGATACAAACAAAATTAGGACTTTTTCTTCTGGAAAGGGAAAATGTAAATATGAATTGGAAACAAAAATTTTCTTGAGTTTGAACTATGTACCTGGGTTAGGTGTTTTATTATATGAAGTCTTTTTAAAAATGCTTTTATTGAATTTTAGAGAGAGGGGAAAGGAGAGGGAGAGAGAAAGAGAAACATAGATGTGATTCTACACGCCCCCTACCAGGGAGCAAGCCTACAACACGGGCATGGCTCTGACCAGGAATGAAACTGGTGACTTTTTGGTGCTTGGATGATGACCAACCAACTGAGCCACACGGGCCAGGGCATCATATGAAGTCTTTTAATTTTGTGTTTCTTTTAAATCCTCACACGCAGCCTATAAGCAAATTGTACAGCACACGTTTAGAAAGTATTCAGCCAGGATTCAAATCTAAATCTTTCTCATTCCAAAAGATTGTGTTTTTACTATACCATCCTGAAATAACCCAAAATAATGCCCTGATAATCATATATTTTATTTGCTTAACCAATCCAGATGTGTCAGATTAGTGGACACCCTTAGAACTTGTTTTCAACAAAGAAATATTCTTGCTGAAACTTGCTAACCCAGATTATATCTGTTCGTGTATGTGTATGTATGCATTATTATTGAGAACTAAATGTAATTGAACTTCTTTTGTGTTGGATGGACACTTCTACACAAAAGCATTGTCTCTCTTAATGCTTACAATAATCTCATGAGGTAGATATTGTCAGGATGTTATTCTCATTTTATAAATGAGCACAACAAAATAAAGAGATAATTGACAGCTTATCAGGTCACACATAGTAAGTGATGGAGAGGGATTTTGAAAACAGGTCTTTCTTTTTTCAATACTCATGTTTAATCCTGATTTTTCAAGGTGATTTCATGGAGGGGAGAATATGTTCTTCCACTAAGTAACATTTCAGGAAAACTTTTACAAAATTTATATACCGTAGGAGTTAAGAGCAAGGCTTTAGGTGACAAGGCAAATTTGGATTTAAGTACTAGTTCATCTTTTATCAGCTAAGAGCTCAGACAATTACTTAACCTCCAAACCTCAGGTTCTTTAACTTGTGAAACAACGAGAATAGTAGTAGTTTGTACATCATAAAGCTGTCAAGATTACTGTCACTTAATGGAAGCTTCTATTAGTAGTAGTACAGTACAGTGTTTGTGGTGGTTGGTCTTAATAGAATACTGAGGTGGGCTATGGGCTATTTGTGAAAACCTAGTAGAATGTTGCCTGTGGTTGATGTGGTATTTGTGTTTCTCTCTCTCTCTCTTTCTCACCCCTTTAAGGATTTCAGTTTTTCTGACTGATATATGAAAGGATGATTGCTAACAAACAGAAAAAGACAAAGAAAAAACGTGTTGTGTCATCAGGCCAGCTCTCTACTGATGAAATGGGGCTCAAGTCTGTAAGTTCCAACTCTGTTTTTGATCCGGATTACATCAAGGAGTTGGTGAATGATATCAGGAAGTTCTCCCATATGCTATTGTATTTGAAAGAAGCTATTCTTACAGGTTTGTTAACTATTTTCTCTTAGCATATTTACTGGATAGTTTGTAAAATTTTAAATGTCAACCTAATTACAGATAAGTGTGTACACAGTGATAGAAACAGGGTATTCTTCTATAATTATTTTATGTCTTTCTCCCCCAAAATGTTTGATGTTTATAGTCTAAACTATTTTATAATCAGATATAGTACAAGACATTATAGAAACTTTGGTAAGTGTGAGGGAACAAGAATACAAAAGAAAAAAATAGGTCCTTGGTTCTTAGCAATTGGGCCCATTTGACAAAGGAAATTTTAGATGATTGGAATTTTAACCTTCTTAATGGTAACAGTGCATTGATTGGTTTTTAATAAGCCGACTTATGTTTATAATTTACATTGTTGGTACTTCTGCCTAGATTTGGTTTTCTTTTTATTTTATTTTATTTTTTATTTTGGTACGTGTCCCTAGCGGAAACCGAACCTGGGACTCTTGGGTCCCTAGGCTGACGCTCCAACTGCTGAGCCAAACCAGCCAGGGCTAGATTTGGTTTTCTATATTGTTCCTAAAACCTAATCTAAAAATCACTGCATTTGAGTGAATTTTTTTTTCTCAAAAATCAAACTTAATTCTGTTTTGCTGTTCTTCAATTTGCTTCTTCATTTAAGCAGTGGTTCTCAACCTTCCTAGTGCCGCGACCCTTTAATACAGTTCCTCATGTTGTGGTCACCCCCAGCCATAAAATTATTTTTTGTTGTACTTCATAACTGTAATTTTGCTACTGTTATGAATCACCATCGGAAATATGTGTTTTCCGATGGTCTTAGGTGACCCCTGTGAAAGGGTCACCCAAGGGGGTCGCAACCTACAGGTTGAGAACCGCTGATTTAAGGCAGAATCACAGAATTTATTCTGTAATTATATATGGATAATGGAGACTTGATTCTTCAGTGATAAAGAGTTATGCACAGCTGTACTCCCTGACTTGTTTTAGTACCCGTCTTTCAACTTTTAGAGCCTTTTTTTTTTTTTTTTATCCTCACCCGAGGATATTTTTTCCATTTTTTTTGTACAGATAGAGTGGGAGGGAGAGAGAAGAAGGGAGAGAGAGAGAGAAACATCGACGTGAAAGGGACAACACATCGAGTGGCTGCCACCCGCACAACCAACCAGGGCCGGGGACAAAGTGCAACCGAAGTACATGCCCTTAGCGGAACCGAACCCGGGTCTCTCCAGACCGCAGGCCGACGCTCTAACCGCTGAGCCAAACCGGCCAGGGCTTAGAGCCTTTTTTATATACAAATTTGATGGTAGTGATGATAAACATACAGCTTCTGTTCTTTTGTGATAAGTAGCACTTCATTTCTATGTTTGTAAATGGTTTGTCTGGATGAGGAAAAAGAAAATATCTAGTATTACTTATATAAGACCTATTGTATTTTGTAGACATTTATAATATTCCAATACATATTTTTTATGTATATAACTTAAATATTTTCTGATAAACAAATGAAAACCATATTTTGCTTTAAATATTGCTTTTACGAGTTTATTCTAGTATAACTAATTTTTCAGGTTGAAATGCCCAAAATGACTTGAATTGTAGCCTCAAAATTTTAGTATTTGAATTTTTCTTAAGACAACAATCATATAAGCCATTCTTTTGAGAGTATGTATGTGTGTATGTGTATGTATTTTATATAACAATTTGTGAGTAGACAATTGGGAGGTTAGCAAGAAAGGATTGAAAGCTGATCCTAAGTGAAAAAAGGGAAAAATTATAATACATAGAAGATAGCCAAAGGAGACTACCCCTTGAGATAAAAGTATGTGTATGAAAATGTATTTGTCATGGAAATTTAATATTAAAAAGCTGTAAGGATATTATCCTTCTAATTAGAAAACCAGGACTTCAGCTCTGGCCGGTTTGGCTCAGCGGTTAGAGCGTCGGCCTGTGGTCCTGAGAGACCCGGGTTCGGTTCCCGCTAAGGGCACGTACCTCGGTTGCAGTTTGTCCCCAGCCCTGGTCGGTCGTGCGGGTGGCAGCCACTTGATGTGTTCCTTTTACATCGATGTTTCTCTCTCTCCGTTCCTCTCTCTCCCTCCCACTCTATCTGAATAAAAAATGGAAAAGTGTCCTCCGGTGAGGATAAAAAAACAAACAAACCAGGACTTCAGAATTTAAATACTCAAATATTGCTGATCATTTTTAAAAAGCTTGCCATTTATGGCTGGTAAATTAATTTAAAAAATGTAAAATCAATTATGTGGATAACCCACTCTCATTGGTATGCAGTGGTCATAGAATTTTCATTATTTACCTTTGGATTGATTTCAATATTTAGTTCTTCAATCAGTTAAAAGGATGTATGTATGCCATCTCAGAATAAATTATGGATTTGACAAGAACTTGTGTTTTTCTGTCTTTGGATCATTGTTATAAAAATCTGGAAACATACTATTTAGTTTGAGTTGATAGAATCATTTTTGTTTGTTTTCCTTAAACCAAGGGAGTGTGTATAACATAAATTAACCTCATTATAAATGGTAAAAGCTACATAATAATATGCTTGCTTTTAATATTGATCATGCTTTTCAGCCTGTTAGAGTATCAGACTATTCCTTATTTAATAGAATTATTATAAGAATCATGAAATATAATCTTTAGGAAACAGGTAAAATTTTTAAAATTCTGTAACTCTTTTTTTAATCGATTTTAGAGAGAGAGGAAGGTGGGGGGGAGAGAGAGAGAGAGAGAGAGAGAGAAACATCGATGAGAGAGAACATCGATTGGCCACCTCCTGCATGCCCCCCACTGGGGATCAGGCCCACAACCTGGGCATGTGCCCTGACCAGGAATCGAATTGGCGACCTCTTGGTGCATGGGTCAATGCTCAATCACTGAGCCACACCAGCCAGCCATAAAATTCTGTAACTCTTTAAGGTAGTGCTATTACATATGTTTCTATAGACTAGACATAGGCCATTCTTTTGTATTCTAGGTATTGTGAAATATCCCTAGACATCTGCTTTTCTTTAGTACCTTCATAGTTGTAATTGTGGCCAGACAGCAAAGAGTTATTTCACCGTTTTTTCTTTTGCAGTGAGGGAGCCTTGTCAGTGGCCTTGCCAATATTTTGTCTTTGTCTCCTTAAGAGGAAGGATGCCAAATTTTTGTCATTGTTTATGACCTTTTAATTCATATCAGTTGGCTGTTAAAACTAAAAAGTTAGCTTCTAAAAACATAGAATGTAGATAGACAATTAAATCATCTTTTGGTGTGATTTGAATGTCATTTTCTTTGTATACTTTACCTGTCATGAGGCAGTGATACACAGATCACTTGACTATTGCTTCAGGTGCTCAGTCATATTGTTGAGGCTAGACTTAGTTTTTACAGAGTACTTTTACATACAAACAGTATTAAGTCACACAGTCCCCACAAGGACAGGTACTTTTAGCCCCATTTCACAGATGAATTGTATATATAACATAGATTGTGTGATTTCATCAACCACTTAATGCTGATAAATAGTGGTTTTATGTGGAACCCAGAGGTCATGAATGTGGACTGGTGTGTTCTTTCCATTCTGTCTTACCTGCCTCACATGTCAGGTACTCTGTAAAACACTGCTCAGTTTTCATGATTTCATTAGCCAGTTCTTTCACTGGGAATTATCGAGATCTACACTATCCAGTATGGTAGCCTCTAGATGTATGGCTATTTACATTTAATTAAAGTTAAAAATTCAGCTTCTCGGTTGCAGCAGCCCCATTTCACATGCTTTTTGCCACATGTGGCTAGTGGCATTTTGGACAGTGAAGTTATAAACAGTTCCATCACTGCAGAACTTTCTATTGGACAGTGCTGGTACAGACATTTGACCTTTATCAGTCTTGAGAAATTGAGATGAATTCTTGAGCTGTATTTTTTATTTCTATAGGATTAAAAGGAAACCTAGAAAATTGTCATGGGAGCAAATTTAAGAAAATTTTACCTAGAAATTGGCACTCTTGGTGTCTGTTTGGATTCTCCTTCCTTAAGTTGCCTTTGTAGTGTGTATCTTTCATGCCCTTTTTTTTTTTTCATCCTCACCTGAGGATATTTTTTCATTTTTGTTTAGATAGTGTGGGAGGGAGAGAGAGGAGTGAGAGAGAAACATCGTTGTGAAAGGGATACATTGAGTGGCTGCCTCCCGCACAACCCCAAGTGAGACCGGGGACAAACCGCAACCGAGGTACATGCCCTTATTGGGAACCGAACCCGCATCTCTCTGGACCGCGGCTGACACTCTAACCGCTAAGCCAAATTGACCAGGGCTCATGCCCTTCTTTGATTTGAACAAGCAAATCAATTCCCAGCCAGATTATACAATTTGATTAAGTTGGTAGTAAGGAATGACAGAAAGAGCTCTGGAAGGAAAATCACATGATTTAGGTTCTAGGCCTAGGTCTTTTACTGATTATTTTTGGAATATAGCTTAAGTCATTTAATAATTTGTTAAGGATGAAGTGTTATACCAGATGCTATCAGTTTTTTAGTACTGTGATTCAAAATTTGATTGGGGTTGGAGATTCTACATTGTTCAGAGCTGAAGAAGACAACTAAGTATTTGTTTTCAAAGTACATAGTGCATTTTAGAGGACATCCACCTCCCCACCATTTTATAGGATTTTTAAAATGTGAGTTTTATGATAATTCTCTTAATTTGATATTTATTACATTTTTCCAAGTGAGAATATAAAGCTATTATTGCAGTAGTTGAGAAACTGATTAGAGAAAATTGGTGTTTGCCAAAGAGCACTGTGTCCCTTACCAGGGTTAAGATATGTATGCTATTTGCGTCTACTGTTTTTATTTACAAATAAAAATGGAGAGCTTAATGTGGGAGTCCAGAGGACTGTGAAAACACTTGCTTTGATAGGGTAAGTGATAGAGTTGTTAATTATCTCTGTCTAATACTTATTTCTAGGAGGATGTTACCCTGTAGTCTCATACAAGTACCAGATGTGGAATTTGAAGTT